GTAGAGCTGCATCTGTTACTATAATATCAAAGAGCTACGTTACACGATTTGGTTGCCGTTGCAAAGCCTGGTTTATACCCGTGAGCCATTTCGCTCAGAAACGCAGTCAAGTGTTTCGAGAGAATGCACATTTGGAAAATAACGCGAATTCACCTCGACTCTGTGCCATTCATTCCATTTTCATTCTATTTCCATTTCGTTTAAAACGTATTCTGTTATATTATTATGCAAATATTATGGTAATTATTTTGCTGCACTGTTTCGAAGTCGACAATTATTAGGTGAATACATATATAATATATTATTGTTAAGACGCAGCACTGTCACCTTCTTATTACGGAGATCTCTATGGAATAAGAAGGTGACAGGAATTAACCCCAGTCACATCTCCGACCCCGTATTTTATATTTCTAGGATCGATTTTCGTAACACAACTAATAATTACCAAAATTAGTAGGCCATATAAAATAAAAATAAACGTCAATTGTATATTAATGTCTTTGTACGTTTAACTTATTTCTAACGTTTTCATGCAAACGCGACCGCCCGCGACTTCGACTTCGCAGCTACCCACTAAAAACCCAACAGTGCTTCCAGTTCCAGCAGGCGACTGCCGGAACGGGTTTCATGGGATCCTGATGACTCTCCACGTTACCCCCGGCAGGGGTTACTCCTCCTCCTGGCGGTCAAGGGGATGCCCGTAAGCACCTAGGCATCCCCTCTGGACGGGTGAGACTGTGCAATGCGGACGATGGACCACCCTGTCCGCCGTTCGCATCTTAATATATATAAAGGAAAGCTACCTTTCCTGTCTTAACAATTATTTATTTAATTTTATTGAAGACCTTTACAGACTTCCATATTCACAAGAATCTAGAAGAAGTTTTCTGATCACGAACGAACATTGCTCTTGGACCGTATTACACTTGACTGGTTCTAGATACTTATTTTTTTTTTTCAAAGAAAATTTAATTATATTACATATACTATTATACAAAAAAACAAATGTGGTAACCGGATAACGTAATCCGATTGTATTAAAGATTCCGATTCGGACCTGTTTTCGTTGGGTTGATGAAATTGATCAATCACTGAATGGCGTCGTGTAAACCGCGGGCCGAATAATCCCAACGCTTGATTGAAAATTTGTTTCAATCTAACGAACGAGGGCCGCCGCAGTCAACAAGAAATTAAATTTGCTGATGAAATTTTACGCCGATTTTTCCTGTTAAAAGGAGGGACCGATATTATTGCATCTTTATGGGAGGAACTTTTTATGAAACGCTTACTTAAAAGATTTTATTACTTTTTTTTCGTTTTAATCTAAGCAATTCGGGCTGACGTTGTATGTGATATAGTGATAATTACCTATAGTATGTATTAGTCACCATCATATCATCTGCGGGGTAGATTGTTATCCTGGGAGAATACATAATGCCATCGGACCCCGGATCATTGGAAGAGAATTAGTAAACGAGAAAAAAAGCAGCCATTAAATTTCTTGCTTACCTTCGATGAAAATTGAAAAAGTAGCTGCGACGGGTACATCTAAAACCAACATATGTGGTCCTAAAGAAGGAATAAAAGAAAGAAGATAGTTAAATAAATGAAAAAAGCTCCTGAAATACTCACCGCTTCTTTAAGACTGTTTTTTCTAACAGTTTCAATGTTTTACTTACATAGATTAACGTGGAAGTAGCCTGAATCCTAAGTAGGTCTATGAATGAATACCTTACGTTTATACGATATCATCATTAAAAAAACTAAAATAAAAAAATGCCGCGGAAACGTTTCCCTAGCCAACATGGCGACAGACATATCACATGTCAGCATCATGTTACATTATGTGACGTCACACGGATGTCATCAAAATGTCAAACAGTACAAAGTAATGCCACTTCGACAGCATGTTTACAAAGAGGTGACGTCATTTCAGGCTCGTTAGGTTTTCAGTCACGTTACAATAGATAAAAAATATTATAATTTTTAGTATTTTTGTCAATTTTTTTGTCGGAATAGTGAAATTACTCCCAATATTCGTGTTAAAGATATATGATAATAATTGATTCCTACTTTATTTTTCATACTGTCAAATAGCCTATTCGGTCACAGTAAAATTCTATTAAATTGGGTTCATACTTACGCAAACACTCAGTATTATTAACATTTATTCTTGGTCAAACAACTTTATTGGATAAAACTAGTTTTTACGGGTTAATGCACGAAACTTTATTTATTTATTGACGTTTCGCAGCCTTTTCAGGTCTGCATCGTCAGAATATTTTTACGTCAGAATTATTCTGACGATGCAGACCTGAAAAGGCTGCGAAACGTCAATAAATAAATAAAGTTTCGTGCATTAACCCGTAAAAACTAGTTTTATTTAATGAGTGATGTGCGTGAAAACCTAAGAAACAAATAAACTTTATTGGACATAAAAGTATTGATAACAATTTATCTCGATTCAGAATCCTAGGGGAGTTTTGTTTAGTAAATGTTTTCTACCAAAGTAACTTAGTTTTTTTAATTACATTATGCATTATCAAAATTTTGTCGTTTTGACGATATTAAACCTAACACAGAGAACCAGCTTTACTATTATCATATTTATAAAAATAGTATGATAAAAGCTATATGGCAACGGTAACGATGTCATAATATGATGTTGGGATTGCTCAATATGTTGCCCTCAAAAAATACTATTGGGTCAATAGCAGGCCCAAGATCGCCCAAAGCGGTTTTATAGCGCGAATCTTGATATTGCACCCAGTGAATATTAGCGCTTACTAGTCTTGATCCGGTAGCAACCGTCTTTTACAATCTTTTTCCAATATCCGTTAATATTGGTCGTTCGTTCGGCAACAACTTCTAGATCGTTCTGAGCAGTTTCCTTAATGTTTTTTCCACGTAGCGCGGCAAAAAGTTGTATATACCTTTATTAAAATCGAGCCTGTTAAGAAATAATATTTTCGCTCGTTTACAGGTGTGCTAAAATGTGCATTTCTGTCAATTTCGTAAAAAATGTTGTGGTTCTTAATCTAAAACCTATATGTATACACATATATATGTGGGTAATAGCGGTTTCACACTAGCGTTTTTTTGCGCGTACAAGTGCTTTCTGCATTCGCGCTTTCACGTGCGCTACATTAATCTGACTCGCATACACGGGCACACAGCTTCTTTCATTAGAGTAGACCTAAGAATATTGATTTCTTTCCCAATTATTTCCCTAATATCTTCCTTAGTTAAGACACCATGTGACTTGGGTTAAGGCTGTTGGTCTGAAGATTTAGTCCTATTTTGTGTATTTTTTTGTACCTTTTCTATACTCCCACGTAACATGTTGACATTATTATCATTATTAAAGGAGTTGTCGTAAGGGCGATTCGGTGATCTAATATCACCTGTTTTTGGTCTGTTACATTTGCAAGACCCAACTCTTTATCCGCTGCTCAGTTAACTTTTTAAAACCATCCTCTGATAAATTGATACATTGTATATCATAATTTTTATTTTTATTCATTTAGGATAACAAACGATTATTCTCTGATAAATTAATACATTATATACCATAATTTTCATTTTTTATTTTTATTCATTTAGGATAACAAACAATTGTGCAATATTGTATGTAATGTAGTAACGCTATTAAATATGTTGATTTCATTACACAACCAACACCGTTATCCTCTAAAAATATAACACAACAACACAGACTTTTGCCACAGTCAAAGCATTTCATGTAGACGGCTTTCAATATGGTTTCGCGCAACCGTTGCACTTCGTCGGCATAGTGTGCGGGCGCCGCGCTTGTACGAACTCAATAGAAAATAAGGGAAATAAGCAACAAGCAACAATTGTAGTTCAATATTCAACCTTAAAGCAACAGCACAAGCTATATACTACACAATGTTGTCTCTTTCCGCAGCAGAACCAAATATTCGTAGCCGTATAACGTGATTCGTAGATCCGTAGTAGTTAGTCGTAGCAGGTACAATGTTGTAAAAGTAGATACAGATTTTGTTTTCCATAGGCAGCATAACTAGTGGCCGTAGCCCAACGGGTAAGCACTCGCCACTCACCCCAAAGGTCTTTAGATCCAACTCAGCATACACCTCTTAACAAAAAACCACTTTTTATTTGATAGGGCTTCGTAACGTGATCAACTGGGGTGAAGCCCGAGGCTCCAAACAAAAGTACAATATAAATATTTAAGAAACGAGCTGTGACACGTCCGCTTGTTACAAAATTTAACAAGTTAGAGTTGATTTTCGGTGATAGCTGTTCGCATTCCTGTCGAATAACTCTTTAATGCCTTTATCGCACGTACTGAGCAAACGAGCGAGTCAGTATTCTCGGCTGAGTACTTGGTACGTATAAACATAGCGCCGAGTGCTCGGCCGAATGAAGCGGCGAGACAGTCGCTAGGCTCCCGTTCTACTTACTAGGCCGAGTGTTCACCCTCCCGCTTCCTCGCACTGTCTCGCTCGCTCACCCAGTAGTCTGCATGTGCACTGTCTCGCCACTCGGCCACATTCATGATTGCTGTCAGGTTGCAGCGCTCGCCTTTTCTTGAGATAATCTTTACCAGGACTCAACTGACTGTGCTAATTTCAAAACATGTGTGAACAACTACCCGCTTACATCACTGTCTCGGCTGAGAAACATTTTACAGTCTCGACCGTTTATTCGGTACGTGTGATCAAGGCATCAGAGGCTGCGATTGTCTGAGGTTTGTTGGCATAAACTAGAAAGAAGTCAAGGGCTGTTAAATTAGGAGATCTTGCTGGCCATACCAAATCGCCAAAATGAAATCTAATAATTTTCAATAATTTTAACATCTTCCTATTGAGTGATTACTTTTGTGCGGTTCCCTGTACATGCAACTTTTTTGTCTCATGGACCTAGGATTTACTTGGTCTATTGATACTGGTAATCATGTATGGTACTATTGGTACATGATCTATTCTTTTTGTCAATGAAACGTCAATCTGTCGAATATTATGACAAAATCATATTTATTAAAATGCCATAATATTTCAAATATTTTATACAGAATAATCAAACATCATGATGTCTTCAAGAAAGTTCTTCCCAAAGGTATATATTCACATAAAATATTCAACTAGATTCCCAGCAGAGCACCTGGACTTAATAATATTTTTATATAATAAGTATTATAAACAATGATTTATTATTTCTAATTACAAATAATTTATTTTTAAAGTTAATAATTACTTGAATATATTCGACGACTATATTGGCGACTGTATTTTCTATATTTCACTGTTATTTACTTGACTCGTGGTTTTTGCTTACTTCTTTGTAACTTTACATTAAAGTAACTAAATTCATTGAAAATCAAAGTCGCGATTCCTTGTGACAGATACGATTTCGAGTGCTGTCATCATCATCAGCCTTTTAATATTCCCACTGTGAAGCACATGCCTTTCCAATGGATGGCGTGCGGAGAATGGGTTATGTACGGATAGGTGTTAATAACTAACAGAAATAGCCGGGACAAACTGCTTCGTGTGACTGCCGAAACATACTGGAGCTCAAGATAAAAAGTTTTTGGTCATCCATCCAATGAGCGCCATTGCGAAAGTTACTTACTTATAAAACGTATAAGATGCCTGAATATTTTAAACGATATTTATAACCCTACCATTATTTTAAATGATAAATATAGGTTCCTGGTGTATCGATACGAAAAGAATAACAACCATTATCATGGTGTTTTAGAACCATATTTTCCACCTACCAGGTAGAAACTAATCATCGGTGACACCGCACAGTTATTTCTCATTTAGCAATCATCTCAAATGCTTTATTGGCGTATAAATAAACAAAGGCTTTATCAATTTTCTAGCAATCACCGTTTGTATTGTTTATTACCCGACTAAGCCAGAAGGAGGGTCATCATTGTTTATTTTTTCTCAGGCGCCTCTTTTGTTCAAGAGCCTTTCGACTTCAATGAGACTGTCGGCAGAAGATTTGTTTGTACACCGCGATACTTCTGAAAACAACGCTCTCACTCCATTTGAGTTTACGGAACCTAATATGGCTGTTAGTTTAATTATTTGTTGATTTTTATTATCCTATCTATAAGAATATCTTATTTAATAAAATTTTGCATATGTAGAAAATTAGTAGGATTATCGACTATCTAAAGGAGAAAGCGAACCAGATATTTACTCGCGCGTACTTTTACCTTTTCCCATGCACCGAGGAACTCTAAAAAGTAATAGACAACAACACAACACAAATTCACTGTGGTTATCTCTAAAATTGGATACAAAAATTAAACTATAAAAAAACATTTACCGCTGTTTTCCCCTCACTCATAAATTACTTTATGGAATAGAGAATCTATTAAAGTACTTCAAAGACTCATAGGCGTTATACGTAAAATTTTCCTTGTAAGATTTTTACTGTGTATTTTTTTTTATAAAAAAAGCAAACCTTTTAATACACTTGTTTTATAGTAAAATTTGGCAGTTTTTGAGGAAAATTGCAGACGTCCACTGGCGGATTATAAAGGGAATTAGATGCCGTTGTCTTACACGGAAGGGATAATGGGGTACTTTATGACACCATCTTAGGACCCACATTAAAACTTTGTTTTGCCTATTAAATATTCCCGCAGGTTGTACCAAAGGAATGTTACAGTTATTTAAATTTAAAATCTAGACCACATTTTATGTGAGTAAGACCTTTAGAAGTTTAGAGGACTACATATTTTATACAGTGTAGATAATAATGAAAGATGAAATTTTAAAGATACTGGCATTTATTCATACTTTTACATATTTAAACTAAAATTAGTTCGCTGACAGTGACTTGTTTAAATGCAAGCAATAAACGGCTAATAACAACAACCATTTGAGATATAAATTTACACATTGAAATAATTATCATTTTTATTATTAATAGGTTCGGTAGGTTGTCATTGAATGAATTGACTTATATTTTGAGTAGGTATACTGTAGCGAGGTCTGAACTGTTTGTCTCGGTACTATATCTATAATACTCTTGATGTTATGACTTCTTTCTATTGTCCAAATAATTATAGATTGGCATGGGTTTTTAAGTAAATGTTGACGACTTTTTCGCAGCGTATCGCAGCATTGGTGCAAAACTACCCATCAGGAGCGCAACGTTCAGTATTGGGAGCAGCTTTGGACATCGTTCAAAGACAGATCGGATGGATTCCCATATCTGCTATGCATAAAGTTGCAGAGATTCTGAGCGTTCCCAGAGTTAGGGTTTACGAATGGGCCACTTTCTACACAATGTGTAAGAGGTAAGATTATAATAAATATATTCATTTCTTTTCTTTTACTTTATTTTATATCTAAATACAAAGACGGTAAGCGGTCATCTCAGCTAAAGAGAACGAATAAGTAAGCAAATTTATAAGTTGATTATTATAGCAAACTGCAATAAGCAAACACATTTGACACAGATATGGAAAGATACAAAAAAAATATAGGTTTAAAGTATATAAATAATACATGTACATAATATTACTAGAAAAAGTTCCACGCGGACCAAGCAGCAGATGGAACTCTAACCCGTACCCTCCGCTATCCGAGCGGATGCACTGACCATTGTGCTACCGCGGCCCTAATGGCCGTGACGAATTTTCTCTAGTATTTCTGAGGCTGCAAGGTAGTGCCATCTCTTCGCATTGTAGGCAACCCACACTGACAAAGGAATACCTTTACAAGTATTAAACATTTGAAAGAAGAAATAGCAATTCTAGTTATATTTTTAGTTTTTATGCATTTAACTGCAGACCCTCCGCTATACGGGTGGATCTCATCTGATCATTATGCAACCGCGGTCCTAATTGTCATGTCGATTTTTTCCAGTAGTTCTACTACTATTATGGAGCCCCGTCTGCTGCCTGGTCCACGTGGAATTCTTTCTCGTAACATTTTCTTTACATTTAAACATGTAGCAGTTAAATGCTTAAAAATATATATCCCAGTCCCATACAAATCATTCCCGTATTACAGAATGACAACTAAGTGTTGATCTTTACTTGAGTACAGTTAGAAAGGGATGTCGCTATGTTGCTATATATAGCGACATCCCTTTCTAACCATGCTCAAGACTAGATCAATCACTGATATTCTTCCTATAATACGGGCCATAGAGCAGCAGTGCTGACGTTACTCGAATCTATTGTCAAAACTTAGCACTGTGTGAACTAGTCATGAAAGCAATGACTCAATAAAAAACCTCATTTCTGTTTTCAGACGTTATCGCGGCAAATACCACGTCAAGGTATGTAGCACCACACCCTGCATGTTACGGGGAGCCGAAATCATTCTCCGGGCGACCGAAGAAGCTACTTGCTGCACTGTGGGCGGTCTCTCTCCCGATAAGATCTTTGGAGTTGACATTGTGGAATGCCAGGGTGCATGTGTTAACGCACCCGTATTGGTTGTAGATGACGATTACTATGTAAGATATTTACGTGTACTCCTCATCAGTTTTTAATTTAGTTGTGGTAAACCGGCACAGGAGTACCTTTGTGACCTGGCTGGATCTCTTGCGTGGAAGAAAGTCAATATCAAATATCCGTACTTTAAATGCAATATCACCTATTACGAAGTTAAAAAAAACCGTATTAGATAACTTATTCAGACTTTCATCGTCGTCAATTAAATTCAATTAAAGGATTTTCCTAATATACCATTATTAATAAATAATAAGTATTAATAAATATTTCCAACACACACCAATTAGCCTAGCCCAAAGTAAGCACTGTAAGGCTTGTGTTATGGGACGCTAGGGTAACGGATAGAATACATATACAAGTATATATATATATATACATAAATATATTTATATAGAAATACATATTAAACATCCATGACTAGAGTACAAATGCTCGTGTTCATCACACAGACATCTGCCCCCACCGGGATTTGAACCCGGGACCTCTCCAGTCGGCGATACCATGAAACTCGGCGTACATACCACTCGGCCACGGAGGTCGTCGATTATAAGAATTGATTTGCATGCATGGTGTGGCAAATTACTTTACCATCCCACCTTATGTTAAGTGTGCATGAAGTCTATCAGATGGTTAAGGTAGTAGAAATATATGCAGAATCAACCATTCTCATTACCATCCAATAGAGCCCTGAAAAATTTACTCACTGACAGAAACCCAACACCACCAAAGGTTAGTGTTTGGTTCGTGTAAGGTGGAGGTTTACTTTCCCAGACCGGACGTTTTAATTTGAGCCTTGAAATCCGCTAAGTTACTTTTACTTTTCTTTTCAGGAAGACGTCAACGTTTGTGATGTTTACAACATTATAAAAGCAATCAAATGCGGTAAAATACCTCAAACAGGACCTCAGTAAGTAACAAAACCCGTGTAAATATACAAAAGAATGATTAAGTACTTGATATAGTAGAGTACAGTGCTATATTTTCTTACCTTGTGAGATCATGTGTTCATCACGGAAAATGTTGTTTGCTTTGCGAGTTTTGGATGAGTGCCCCTTGATCGAAAATCGTGTTTTATGAGATACTACTTGTAGCCTATACTCAGTTTGCGAGCTCACGGTTAAAATAAAAACACAGGACCTTTAACAAATGCCCCAACATGGTGCACACAAGACGTAAAGATTCTTATTTCTATATAAATATACTTATATATGTACAATATATGTATTCTATCCGTTACCCCTTAATCCAAGCATTACAGTACTTACTTTGGGGCTAGGCTAATTGGTGTGAGTTTTGCAAATATTTATTATAATTATTACTTATTATAGTACTTTAAGTTATTAAAAGATAAACATGTTTAGCTTAATATCAAGATGTAACTATTTGATACTTACTTATGAAATTATGTATTTATTGCTTTCGCCAGTACAGCATTAATAATATACATTGAAGCCGAGAAAGGCCGAAAATCTCAAGCAATCAAATTAATTTCATTCTGAGGGTATTTAGTACATAAAATCAGTGGGCGTGTATGAAAAGCGTTATGAAAGCTAAGGAAACTAAAAATGTCTGTTTCGCCCGTGGTCTACACAACAGATATGGTGTGAATATTAATGATATTCATATATGGAGCGATATTGCTTGTTAAGTTGACCCAAACAACTGGATCACCGGGTGCCAATAACGCTTCTCTGAGGGTATGAAGATGAACCTATCTGTACGTGTATTAATATAGTTGTCATTTGCCTCATACAGAAATGGAAGATATGCTAGCGAGCCAATATGTGGATTTACCACACTCCTGGAGCCACCGCCTCCACCAGGGTTTGGAATACAAGCAGCTTTGGTTTCTAAGAAATAATCTGTTATTGTATATTTTTATAGAAAAAAATCTTTTACTTTGTCGAAAAAGGCTTATTTAAAATTCTTTAATAACTTACAAAGTTTATTCTAAGATGTAAATATTGGAAATGTAGGCTTTTAGTACAACACACCGCCCACTTAAATGTGGAATAAAATTGTTCTTGGAATAAAATATAATTATTTAAGTAATAACATATCAAAGATGATGAAAGCGTGACTTTATTTCTGGAGCTGGCTGAAATTATCAAAATGCCTTTGATATGCGGTTCTCTGAACTAATAAAGTTTTACTAAATAATTTATGACCAAATTATGTCATATCCTAAATAAATTTTAACCAGTCGATACTAGTATTTTTTATTTCAAAGCTACTAATATAACAGTTTAAAAGATGAAATTGTATAAACATTAATAAATCTGGTACTACAGTCGTTTAAATTTTCAGTTATAATTCTGTAATTGATATCAAATAGGAAAATACTAGCGGCCGCCTTTGGCTTCGTTCATTAACGTATATATATTCGTCCATTAATAGTACATTAGTTATTTTGAGAATCCCTCAGATCCTGACATACGTCAGAGCAGCAGCAATTATCGTTTTCAAAAAGAATCATATAGTTTACAAAAATCTGATAATTTAGTTAAACCTTTTATGGTTGTGTGTTGTGATGGATATATTATAGATTGTATGGGTCCCTATAAAGCAACCACTAATGATGCTTCAATAACAAGGCATGATTTAAATAATGAAGAAGGAAAACTGCGTTCATTTTTCCGGCAGGATGATGTTTTTATTCTGGATAGGGGGTTTCGGGCCGTAATTGAATTTATGGAGGATCTTGGTTTTAAAGCTTACATGCCTGAATCATTATTAGATGGTGAACATCAACTCACTACCCTTCAGGCTAACAAATCTAGATTTGTAACAATGTGTCGCTGGGTGGTTGAAATAGTAAATGGGCGTATAAAACTAGATTTTAGATTGTTCAGGCATGTATTTAATAACAGAGCTGCAACTCATTTAAAAGATGATTTAAGAATTGCATGTGCTCTGTTAAATAAGTTTCATCCCTTAATACAGGATCCTCCAGAAGCAAGCGAGTATGTAGCTATTGCTCAAAATCGGCTTAATGAGTCCAATCATTTGGCCGAGTTTGTAGAAACTCAAAATCTTAACAGAAGACGTGCAATGTTTTCTGCAATTGATGGCAATCATCCTCACTTGGAAACCTTTCCCAGTTTAAGCATCACTGATTTAAAACGCTTTACATTAGGCACTTATCAGTTAAAGCAGGCGCGATCATATTATGGGGAACATATTCAATCGTCTGGGATATATTCCATAGAAATAAATACAGAAATAGATGAAGATGTTCCCCTTGTATTAGGTTTAAACAATTATCTGCTTAGAGGACGTATAAAGTCTAGACACGTTGGTGGACGCACCTATTTTGTTTACATTTTAGTCAGCCGTGACACCAATATAGCCAACTCACTAAGTTGTTTAGTTGGCTATTGCTGCAGTTGTATTGTAGGCAAAAGGACAGTAGGATGTTGCGCACACGTAATGACGGTAGTTTGGTACCTTAGCTGGGGGCGATTTAACGATACACATGCTCCAGCTACATTTTTAGATGAGGTATTTGAAGAAGGTATATAAGTCAATTCTTTTTTAAAAAAAGGCAATATATAAACCAGGATTAGAGCACGCTTAATGTATAAACTGCTGTGTTAATTGAACTTAGCAGAGCTTTAACTGGATATTTCAAACTCAACAGGACATGGTGGCGAGTTACAAAAGATATTTTAGGCGAAGTCACTACAGTTCCACTGGATACGGCATAACCCCAAAAATATAAAATAAAAATATCACATTAATAATGTCGATTTGGATAAATGTGTTATCAATAAATGATTATCATTATTAAAATATTTTGTCTTATTTATTTTTGATTCCTAAACCTTAAATAATATTATATCCATTGTTGGGTTAACAGCATCAAAGGTGCAGCTTGAGCGTAAAGAGAATAAGTATAAATAGCACTAATATAACCGCACCTCAACAACGCCACATTTATTGAATCTGAGATGTTTGGAATAAATAGAGATAGATAGCAGCTCACCAACGCAACAGTTTACTGCTCTGTGTGTTATTATCACTTATTATCTAGATACCTAGATAATAAGTGATAATAACACACACATGTGCCAAATTATATCGTATTCCATTCAGCCGTTTGTGTGTAATTGATTTTGAACGACAGTATTGTGATTAAAAAGTGACACATAAAAATATCTGGTAAAATAATGTGCTACTTACAACAAACCACATCAGGTGCAGTCCTTAGATTTTCATCGTGAAGGAAAATTTTGTGAGAAAATTAAATATTCCGCGATTTAATATGCCGTCACAAAAACGACAGAGGCAAATTCCAATTTTCCACTTGAAGCATCCGACTCATGGAACACGACGAAGGAATGTATAATTAGCTTCAAAAAATACCGAGCTCGCGACATTGTTAAGAAACATTCAAAAGCCAAGATGGATAATTTGATTGTGAAGTTTTCTTAAGCCGCAATATGCGGTGCAAAAAGACAGGAAAGTAATTCATCATCCTCAAATGCCGCTAATGATAGACTACCTGTAGTAAGTACTGATAACGTTGTTGAAAGTTTTTGTAAATGATTCAACATTTTAATATTATATAAATTTAAAACATCCTTATTTCATCTCCATAGCGAATGCTAGTGCAGCTCGGACCAACTTTGACTTAACGCGCCTTTCGTAGCACAATCGAAAAGAAAAACAAGTTAAAAAATATAGTGTAACAACCACCATTTATTAACAAACAGAACGTAAATCACATCTGTACCCCTAGCACAACTCATTATCGAATTCGAATAGTTTGCGAGTCCATAATATCAATGTCAAAATTTGTAAGGAAACTTGAACAGCAGCGTCACAAAGTACGTAACAAGAACTAAAAATCAGTACACATTTGACAATGACATTTCGGACTCGCAGACGTTACGAATTCGATATTAGTTTATGCTAAGGGTACTGTACCCCTAGCACAAACCATTATCGAATTCGAATAGTTTGCGAGTCCATAATGTCAATGTCAATAAAAATCAGAACACATTTGACAGTGACATTTCGTACTCGCAAACGATACGAATTCGATATTGGTTCGTGCTAAGGGTACTGTTTGCATTAGTCGATTCATATCAATTTTTATTTTTTAAAGCGTTTAATAAAAAAAATATTCTACTTTTGTAAGCATTAAATCTTATCTTAGTTATTGTTAACCATTTCTGCACAAATTTAAATCATCTGCATCATATTTAAAAAAAGTCCATTGTACATTAAAGAGTCGTTTTAGACTAATCAAGAGTTGCTCTTTATACTTTTAATTTAAATTAATTTAAATTTAATAAAAATATTTTAATTTTTTTTAAACACTATCTTATATTCTAAATGTTTAAGTACCTCATTAAGTATTAAATACCTTAATTTGAGTACCTAATTAAAAAAATCTTGACAAATCTATTGCATTATTTCTAATACTATTAGTTTCCTATTAATTGTTGTCCTTCGAAAACTAATCTCACAAAGTATCTTCGATATTGGTTTGCTGTGTTTGCATTAATTTTGTTAACACAATCCATTCAATACTTGGTTTACAGTTTTAATCCTAACTTAAAGCAAGAAACACAATCTTAATAATAAATTACTTCACCGAGGAAATCCCAATGGATTAAGATACTACCATACGTTAAGGATTTACGGCTTAACCTGAGTCTGCAGTTTCAAGTTGGTTTTATCTTCGATAATTGAGGTAATATTGTAAAACTGTTCATTGTCTAGTTTCGAGACTTTAAAAATCAACTCTATAAAGGTGATTTTAAAAGAACAAATGAAATATGTCAGCGCTCAGGAACAAAGGTAATAAATAAAACACGTTCTAACATTTGATTACATTTTTTTAATAAAGCAGAACTTTTTTGTCCTGGATTTTATTAAATCCTAATCCAAAAGACGAATCTAAGAAATAAAAGTCGCAGTACAATATCACAAATAATATAATAAGTCAAATATTCTCATTATTTTTCTTGTCGTTTGCTCGTGGAAATTACGTAAAAACCATATTTGCCCGCTTGAAAATTCCTATAAGGGTGAATTTGCGTACACGGCGGGGACCATTATTCCCCATAATTGAATTTTCCTTACCTGCATGTTAAACTGATTTTCGACATAACTTCGAAAGAGCGCTTTCACATTTTGTGCAACTTTATGGGAAGTTGTTTTTATGAAATGCGAAGTTTTCGGCTTTAAGCTGTGTCTTCTTGTGTCGTAAGTATTTATTCCAGGATTTGCTCAACTATTAGGTAAAAAGTTTTGATACTGTAAAGCATAAGCCTTACTAGGCGCGAAAATATCTTTGTTTTTTTCGATTTATGCATTTTAGGGTCCATACCCAAAGGGCTTTCATTGTAGCGCAAATTATCCTAAAAATTCTAAGTACATATTGTGTCCTTCATTGTATGTGTGATTGTTAGAAATACTTAGATCATAACGTAATTTCAAACAGCCGTGTTTAAGCGTTGTAAATAAAATGTCGAAAATTTAGAAAGAAGGAACAAGATAATGCAGTAGTTAATGGCCCGGTCGGACGTCATCGTGGCTGTGTTGTTATTGCTACAAAGCACCGCTATATACAACATCGCGTAAGACTGCATTTCGATACAGTGCCGAATTATGCGGTTGCGATTTCGAACCGTACTTCTGTGTATATTTTACTTACGTTCAGAGTTTACTCAAAAAAGATCGGCGTAACATAGTTTTGTTTTCTATTTCATTTCTGGAAGAGGAGGAACATCAAGCCTCCTAGTCCAAGCGGCCGTTGAACTTTAGAGAAGCTTACAATTTAAAGGAATATAGCTTGCGTTATTTTTTCGCTTTCATGTCCCTACTTCCTTACTTTGAATAACTGAGGAGCTGCGAACAAATCGGTATAATTACGCATCTGGTCAAACTACTTTTTTTTATTTTACAGTCCGGAGGTTTCGGGCCCTTTGAATTTGAATCCCAAATTATTTTCAATCAAATACACCTAAAACAGTGTTAAAATATAAAATTTATAAATTAAAAACCATGCCAAAAGTTCACTGGTATGTCATTCAATACCCCTAGCACGAACCAATATCGAATTCATATTGTTTGCGAGTCCGAAAATCATTGTCAAATGTGTACTGATTTTTAGTTCTCGTTACGGACTGTATCTACGTCGCTGCGCACGGCAGTCCGTAGTCAGTCCTACCGTAAGTGCTCCGAAGTAAAGCT